CGGGAGCAGGAAAGGCAGCAGTAAGGGGGCTGTATGAAAAGAAGCTGACAAGGAACATGCCAACAAGAGGAAAGAGCAGAGGGATGACCTCATCAGTCTGTTGCCGCTCCTTGACTGTCCAGCCACAGGCTTGGGTGAGTAGGTGGCCCATGTGGGATGATGGCTCCATCCATATATATGTTGCCAGATTTATTAGAAGGGATATGTTAAGCCCCCTGAAAAGTGTAGGCATGCCTTACTAATTCTTTTTGGAAAGGTCTGCTTTACAAACAGGCTATTTCCACTGCTCAGTTCTGGGCAGGGTGCTACATTTATGAGCCCCCAAAAAGGGGCACGTTAAGACCCCAAAACGCGGTGGCGTGCTTTGTGAACTTCTAAGCAAATATAAGTACAAAACTTAAATCACCCTGTCCTCAGACAGTTTGCCATTCCGACACTTCCATTCACTTACATTCAAATCGGCAGGTCGGTGGGATACCCAAGGGGGTAAGGAATATTGGTACACCTCGCCTCCCCTCCTCCCCCGAACTCTATGTCCTGGAGGACTATCTGATTCAGATAACTCCAGTGTATCTTTGTCATTTTCTGTTGTTTAGAACAACATTGTGATTGTCAGGGCAATTAGGCCAGGAGCATTTGGGACAATACTGTAGCCAAATCTAAAGACTGAGCTGAAGTTCTCAGGCTCTGGGTTGTGTCTGTTGATCCTATGAAACGATGATCCTGTGTAGCTCTGGCGATAGCTATGGCAGGTGTCTCACCATGAGCAATGGTGGACCTACAATCTGCCCCGCCATATCTGCCCTTCCTAAAAAAGCTTTCACACTCTTGGACTTTCCATTGACTTCATCTTTGGTGAGGGATGGGTAAGGCATATCATCGGTAAGAGTTTCCTCAAGCAATTAGCACTACCGACGGTCATGTAGAGATTTTACATGTGCAATAATATGTGCTTCTATCCAGTTCCCATGCCATCACCTTTTTCTACCCCAAGACTTTGCAAGTGATGCTTAAAGCCCATCTCCGGTTTAACCCCTCATCACGGGCCCTTCCTTGCACCACGTGCCACATTACCTTCCTTTAGAGCTTTTACTAAATGGCCTTATATGCTTGTAGGCACTGTTCTCCTAGGGTTAAATTGTTCCTACAACCAGCACAGAATAGGTCATATTGACCCTGCAGCAAATACAGGTCAGCAGAAACCAAACACAAAGTACACTACATAGTCATAGGTTTAAGGGCACCTGACCATTAAATCTCCACACATGACCAAATGTGCATGGCCCCCTCTCCAAATGAATTCAGGTGTCTCCAGTGAAGGTCCTGTTAATGCTACAGCATACAAAGACAGAATAGACAATTGTGCTCATCAAACCTTGTGGTAACAGTTTGGTGAAGGCCCTTTTCTTTTTCTATAGACATGGTTTGACCAGTGTGGTGTGGAGGAACCTGAGTGTCCTGCACAAAGCCCAGACCTCAACCCTAATCAACGCTATAAGGATCAATTACAAGCCAGGTCTTCTCATCCAACATCAGTACCTGACCTCAACTCTACTGAACATCTTTAGGATGAATTGGAACGTGCATCATGAGCCAGGTCTTTTCATCCAGCATCAGTAGCTGCCCTCACAAATGGGCACAAATACCTACAGACACCCTCCAAATGCTCATGGAAAGCTTTCTCAGAAGAGCGGAGGATGTAATTGTTGCAAAGATGGGTGGTCAACCTCATATTAATGGCCATGGGGGACAACTCCATTTTGATGGTCATGGGGAGCAACTCCATGTTAATGGCCATGGGGGGCAACTCCATATTAATGGTCATGGGAGACAATTCCATATTAATGGCCATGAGAGACAATTCCATATTAATGGCCATGGGAGACAACTCCATATTAATGGCCATGGGAGACAATTCCATATTAATGGACATCGGAGACAACAAGTGTAGGGGCTGGTATAGGTGCAAAAGAGGGACAACTCCATATTGATGGCCATGGTTTTGGAATGGGAAACCAACAAGCTCATATAGGTGTGATGGTCAACGACCTACAAACTCATAGTCATATAGTGTGGAACCCATGGAAATGTACCCTAATTAACTGGGTGTCCTAAATATAATTTTTTTTTATTGAATGGTCAAAATATCATAAGTGCTATATTTTTGGCAATAAGCCCTACTTGAGACTTGCCCCAAGAATGAAGGCAATAGACTGTTTGTACAATCTACCTGCTGGCCCAAATATAACCCTTACTCTCTGCAATATCAACACTTGGTGGTTCATTTCCTTCAAAAGTTGGAGAATACTGTGGTAAAGACGGTCAGATATAAAGTACGTTACATGACGGCATGGTGTTGGAAGGCCACAAAATGAAAAATGTGGATTGACACAATATGAACTGGCATCTGGTAATATTTCGATAGGTCCAATCAAACAACTCTGCAGATGTAATCCCACCAGCGGACTGAAACCCTTGGGCCTAGGGGGGGGGGGAAATACACCCAAGTGGCTGCTTTCATGGTAGGCACAGATTCACATCTTCCAGAATCACCTGCCTTTGCAGCTGTTGGCATATGGCCACATGACATCTCAGTTCCTCATAGGAAGTTGGTGCTGGAAGACTCCCATCTACCAGATGCTGAGGTCTGAATAGGGAGCAGACATCTATACAATGTCCACCATGTGCCACCAACTGCAAGTCCCGCTATGATCAATGTCTGAATGGTAAAGTATCTCCACTCGAGGCCACCAGCCCAACTTTTTAGGACTGGCCCCTTTGTTCCATCCTCCTTCAAATTCCACATCCCCGAGATGTGATATCTGTAAGATGCCAGCCTTGCCATAATGGGGAATCCCAACCAACAGCTCATTTAAAGCTGAACTCCAGGCAGATGTAAAACACACAAATTGGCTCAGCTCTCTCAGTCTGTATTGTTTTAATACAAGCAGTGCAAGTACCTTCATTTGACTTGGTATCAGCCTCTTGCAATCCTTTGTACAGCAGAATGGGGAAGAAGAGGCAGCACCAGGAGCCAATCAGGTGTCTTGATAGTAGGAGAGAACAATCACAGGATGGGGAGAGGGACAAGACCTTCAAGGGCGAGTTAACTGCAGCAGAGAAAAATTAGGTCCCCTGCCTCAAATCTCAGGACTGGATGGACAGAAATACAAATCCTTTGGCAGGTCAAACAGTTCCCTTGTATGTATTATGTCTGTGTATGTAGCCGGTTGCCTGGAGTTCAGCTTTAAAGAAGGAAATCTGCTAAGTACTATAATATTCACCAATCCAAGCCAATACTACCAGTGCCATGTTCATAGAAGTCAAGACGTCTTTATAGATTTGATGAGCCCTACTACGTCTCTGCGCATGTATGGCAAATGTGAATACCACCACTCTCATCCCCGCGTGGCTGCGAGAAGATAAATATAAAATGAGAGATATATATATACTACAAAATGCAAAGCTCATAGCGATTGCACAAAAAACACTTTCCGGATCACATGCAGAGAGTCATGAACGTTCCGGGAGAGAGATCTGGCGGATGTCACATTATTACTACACGTAGCATATCAGTCTAAAATTTGGCACAACGTTATTCGGAAAAACAAAAAAAAATCATTCCTTTCATAGTATTCCAGAGACGTTCGGCTGAAATTAGTTCAAGTTGAGTTATTTCAGGTGTACCGAGTTCTCCCATTGGACAATTGTTCAGGTAACATTTAAAATAAAATAAGTGTGTTTTTTCTTATTTTAGGGGCATTGCCAACACCCTATATTCCAGCGTACGACGGCCATTACAAATTTTCGTAGATAGAAGTGTGATACAAAACTTAGTTTTGCACTTCTTGTCATCTCCAGGCTTTCCTCCCAAAAAAACCAAATCAATCTCTAGGCAAGGTTTTGGTGTTGCCGTTTTTCTCAAATTCCGGAGCAAACTCGCTCATCACTCTCCGAGCCAAAGGGTTGGTGGTTTTAAGGAGTTCGGCGGCCGAGGGTCGGGCCCCTATGCTGCTTTTGCTGCCCTTCCTTTGGAGAAGGGCTTTAAAGTCCTCGGTTTTGCTAGAAGTCCGGCTAATGCTCAGCGTTCCCGTGTCACTGTTTGTGGCGTATGAAATTTTGATCGGAGACATTGAACTTTGTCTGCTCCCGAAAGAGTCTCCGGAGTCTTTCCATCCCAGCAACTTCCTCTTTGACCTAAGGAAGAAATAAGAAAGTATTGTAATATCCAAAATTTAGAGGTGAACCACAAAAAAAAGTATGGGTCCTTGTGTTTATGGGCTTTTGTTCATGTATAAAGATTTTGCATTTCCATACAAGTCTACGGGAATGCAAAACCTGCTTGAGGAAAGGGCCAACTGGTCATCTTCAGGTCAGAGGGTCAAGTGAAGATCAAGAGGAGGTCATCTGCAGGACAGAGGGTCAACTGAAGATCAAGAGGAGGTCATCTGCAGGTCAGAGGATCAACTGCAGGTCAGGAGTAGGTCATCTTTAGGTCAGAGGGTCAACTGTCACCACTCTCATCCCCGCGTGGCTGCGAGAAGATAAATATAAAATGAGAGATATATATATACTACAAAATGCAAAGCTCATAGCGATTGCACAAAAAACACTTTCCGGATCACATGCAGAGAGTCATGAACGTTCCGGGAGAGAGATCTGGCGGATGTCACATTATTACTACACGTAGCATATCAGTCTAAAATTTGGCACAACGTTATTCGGAAAAACAAAAAAAAATCATTCCTTTCATAGTATTCCAGAGACGTTCGGCTGAAATTAGTTCAAGTTGAGTTATTTCAGGTGTACCGAGTTCTCCCATTGGACAATTGTTCAGGTAACATTTAAAATAAAATAAGTGTGTTTTTTCTTATTTTAGGGGCATTGCCAACACCCTATATTCCAGCGTACGACGGCCATTACAAATTTTCGTAGATAGAAGTGTGATACAAAACTTAGTTTTGCACTTCTTGTCATCTCCAGGCTTTCCTCCCAAAAAAACCAAATCAATCTCTAGGCAAGGTTTTGGTGTTGCCGTTTTTCTCAAATTCCGGAGCAAACTCGCTCATCACTCTCCGAGCCAAAGGGTTGGTGGTTTTAAGGAGTTCGGCGGCCGAGGGTCGGGCCCCTATGCTGCTTTTGCTGCCCTTCCTTTGGAGAAGGGCTTTAAAGTCCTCGGTTTTGCTAGAAGTCCGGCTAATGCTCAGCGTTCCCGTGTCACTGTTTGTGGCGTATGAAATTTTGATCGGAGACATTGAACTTTGTCTGCTCCCGAAAGAGTCTCCGGAGTCTTTCCATCCCAGCAACTTCCTCTTTGACCTAAGGAAGAAATAAGAAAGTATTGTAATATCCAAAATTTAGAGGTGAACCACAAAAAAAAGTATGGGTCCTTGTGTTTATGGGCTTTTGTTCATGTATAAAGATTTTGCATTTCCATACAAGTCTACGGGAATGCAAAACCTGCTTGAGGAAAGGGCCAACTGGTCATCTTCAGGTCAGAGGGTCAAGTGAAGATCAAGAGGAGGTCATCTGCAGGACAGAGGGTCAACTGAAGATCAAGAGGAGGTCATCTGCAGGTCAGAGGATCAACTGCAGGTCAGGAGTAGGTCATCTTTAGGTCAGAGGGTCAACTGCAGGTCAGGAGTAGGTCATCTTTAGGTCAGAGGGTCAACTGAAGGTCAAGAGGAAGTCATCTTCAGGTCAGCGGGTCAACTGCTGGTCAGGAGTAGGTCATCTTTAGGTCAGTGGGTCAACTGAAAGTCAAAAGGGAGTCATCTGCAGGTCAAAGGGTCAACTGCAGGTCAGGAAGAGGTCATCTTTAGGTCAGAGGGTCAACTGAAGATCAAGAGAAGGTCATTTTCAGCTCAGAGGGTCTACTGCAGGTCTGAAGGAGGTCAACTACAAGTCAGAAGGAGGTCAACTATAGGTCAAAGGCACCATTCATTGAATTCTATATGATCTCATAAGAGTCTCAAACTAATGTCCAACTGATTCCATCACCATGAGCCCAAAGTCCAATGGCATGGGCTGATGTCAGACTGATCCCATTGCCACAAGCCCAAAGTCCAATGGAACAGGCTTGTCACACCTACTGTAGAATGAGCATAAGATATTATCTTACATCTAGATTATTCTGTGGGACACAGCACCACTGGAACTGGTGTCCAAAATGCATGACTGTTTCGGAAAATCTGAGATGCTGGCATCTATGCTATGGGAATGCAAAACCTGCTTGAAGCAGGTCAGAAGGAGGTCAAAACTGCAGGACAAATGCCACTGTCAATGAATTCTAGATGACCTCAGAGGCATCTCAAACTAATGGGAAACTGATGCCAAACCTCAAACCTAAAGCTTGTTGGCACAAGCCCGTCACATCTACTATAGAAAGAGGAGATATTACCTTATTTCTCGATTATTCCTGTTCCTTACGGGCCTTTGCCGATGGGCTTTTGTTCACATCAAATGTGTTTTCCATTCCCATAAAAGTCTACGGGATTGCAAAACCACCTTGAAGAAGGTCAGAAGGACGTCAACCGCAAGTCAAATAAACTTGTCATTGAATTGACCGTGCGACTGGAGACGTGGCCTCTGCCTACATACTTCATGCTACAATGTGTCCCTCTTTCCCATCTTACAAAGTTGGGCGGTATGTTCCATTGGTGACACAAGTTAAACCGTATATAAAGCCAAAACCTTTTTTTAAATATAGTCTTAGATAAATTAGGGAAACGTTAAAACCCCTACAAGGTTATTTTTTGCTACCTGAGATTTCCCTTCACTTCCTAGTTTGTATCCTGGCGATGCAACAGAAAATGAGTGAGAAACTCTCAAAGGTTAATGGAAAAGCCATCTTATAGAGTTGTCACAGGAGCAGATAACCGAAATTTCCTTCACCTCTTGCTTTAGTGACACTCAACTAAAATTTTGGGATTTCCTATTACTTTGTGTCTCAGTGACAATGGTCATCGGGACAAAGAGAGAGGGCGAATCTTCATGGGGGGAGGTACAGACAGTGATAAGAACTTAACGAAAAGTCCAACCCTTCCCTACTAGATCCAAAATGAAAACAAATTCCTTTACATATTCTTTAAAGATTTGACCCAAATCTGCTCACTGCAAGCAAATCACTATTTCCTTAATGCATGTTATTGTTGCTTGTACTTGTTGTTCCTGCTGGACCCACACTGTGCAACGCTACCCAAAGCACATGGTGCGAATGAGCCCTTAATAAACATTAGACTGAACAGTGCCAGTGAGGGACTTCACTGGGAGGGAAGGAAAACCTAATTCTAGAATAAATAAGGTTCCTCCTCCATAATATCTCATTCCTTCTGATGGATCACAGGAATCTCAGCTGCAGCTGTGTGTGGGCTGAGCACTCAGCAGGACCTTAAAATGGAATTTCTGATCATCTGCAATTTTTTTTTCTAGGTGGTGGAAAGCAAGACGGAAAAAAAAAGTCTGGCATGTGATATCTCCCCCTTTTCTACCTTCCAGAGGGCTCAACTCCTGGGGCTCCTGCAATGCTGTGTGTCAAAGTGAACCCCACCCATGCCCAGACTCTTGCTTTACTCTTAGGGGTTTATTTATAAAGAATTGAATCTTTGTACAAATAGAGGTGCAAATGAACGTTCTTAGTATATTTTCTTTTTCAAGTTCCACATTATGGCCACTAGATGGAGCTGAGTATAGGAAATAAATACTAATATCCTATGCTCCTCGGTGCCATCTAGTACTCATAATGCTGTATTGAAAAGAAACTATGCTATGAATTGTTCATTTTTGCCCCTATTCGCACAGAAGGAACATTCGTAGAGATTCGTAGGGCAAATGGTTGTGCAAATTGTTTATAAATAGACCCCTTGGAACAGTGGTTCTTAACCTGGGTAACCCCAGGACCCAGTCATTAAGTCGCGACCTAAGTCGCACTGCGATGGAACACACGGCAGTGTGGGCTGCTGTGCTGGAGCTCCATTCATATTGTGCATTGCTTGTACAGCTTCCACCCTGTAGAGGTTCCAGGAGCCAGAATGTGATGTCACTCCCGTCCAGGAACCTCTACAGGACATGCGAGGGAGCTGTAAGCAATGCAGGTTTGGATGGAGATCCCTCACTGTCATACCCCCAGCCCACCCCACCTCAAGCTGACACTCAGCACTGAGCAGCATACAGTACTTTGAATGGCTGCTCGGTGTGAGAACAGACAATGCTGCGCTAGGGTGAGGATAGGGAGAGGGTGAGAAGTCAGTCACCGAGAAAAGTGGAAGGCATGCGGCGACCCACTTTTGGGTCACGATCCACCAGTTGGGAACCAAGGCCTTAGAGGAAATCAAGAGTCTGAAATCGAATAGGGTTTTCACTTTATTGCAGCCATATACTGAATATGCTTCTTTATTTTTTTGCCTGTACATATGCTCTTCTTTTACAGCGGTGGGGTGAGTAGGCGATGAAGCAGCACAGGAGCTGAATGCAATGAAGGCAATGCTGCCTTACTGATCCCTACTTTGGTAGTCAGGCCACTGTGCATTAGTATAGTATAATGAGGCTGCCCTCACGGTGCACTTTATAAAGGCCATTTTTACATCTCTGATTATAGTATCGGAAACAAACACTCTGAGCTTACCTGTGGATGAGTGTAAATAAATCTTCGGTGGTACGTGAACTGACAAACACCTCGTCATCATCTTCAGTAATGCACTCTGCTGTCTTCCTTGATACACACTTGCCGTCTTCTGGCATGTTTGCGTATGATCCTGTAAAACCAATAGCCACAAATATTACAATAGTGGAGTTACTTCTCAACAAGTTTTAAGGATGATAAGGAACTAATTAGACCAGACCAACTGATTAGTAATGAGTCCAGACCATTGGTCTGATTTAATCATTACACTACTGTCTATGGTTAAAATTATGAAGACATTCCTCCAAATTATGGAGTTCAGGAGTTCCCAGTGAAGGTTCTGTTAATGCTACAACATGCAAAGACATTGTAGACAACTGTGGTCTTCCAGCCTTGTTCTAACAGTTTGGTGAAGACCCTTTTGTGTCCCACCATGACTGTCCCCTGTGTACAAAGCCAGCTCCATTAAGACATGGTTTGACCAGTTTGTGAAGGCTACTCAGGTTCCTCCACACCAGAGCCCTGACCTCAACCCTAGGGAACATAGGAACATCTTATGGAACAAGGTTTTTGAGTTCAGGGGTCAAAGCCAGCACCATAAAGACATGGTTTGACCAGTTTGATGTGGAAGAACTTAAGTGTCCTGCACAGAGCCCTGATCTCCACCCTACTGAACATGACGGTCCCCTGTGTACAAAGCCAGCTACATAAAGACATGGTTTGACTAGTTTGATGTGGAAGAACTTAAGTGTCCTGCACAGAGCCCTGACCTCAACCCTACTGAACACCTTTGGGATGAATTGGATCCCCTCCAAATTATTGAGTTCAGGTGTCTCCAGTGAAGGTTCTGGTAATACTACAACATACAAAGACATTGTAGACAATTGTGCTCCTCCAACCTTGTGGTAACAGTTTGGTGAAGGCCCTTTTCTGTTCCACCATGACTGTCCCCTGTGTACAAAGCCAGCTCCATGAAGACATGGTGTGACCAGTTTGGTGTGGAGGAACTCGAGTGTCCTGCACAGAGCCCTGACCTCAACCCTACTGAACACCTTTGGGATGAATTGGGATGCTGATTGTGAGTCAGGTCTTCTCATCCAACATCAGTACCTGACCTCACAAATGGCCACAAATTCCCACAGCCTTCAAAATATTGAGGAAAGCCTTCCCAGAAGAGTGGGGGATGTTATAGACACAAAGGGGGACTAACTCCATATCAATGGCCAAAAGGGGAGGTGGACAACTCCATAATAATGTCTATAATTTTGGACAGGATGTCCAACAAGCTCATATAGGTGTGATGGTGTCCACCAACTTTTGGCCATACATGGCTATATGGTGTACACACATAAGAAAAGTAATGATTGTTCATGCCATAATTCTAAAGATTAGCCAGTATGGAGTATAATTCGTGAATCTAAAATGCATTGTGATATGTTGAGATTGGAGTGCATGAACAATATCTACCTAGCTGCAATGAGATTTTTCTCTCGAACTAAGGACAAGATTCAGTATTTTTTGGGAAGAGGATCTACTATATTGGGTACCGCAGGGCTCTGTCAAGGAAACTGTTGAATTTTTCATAGGGATGGATTACCATAGTAGTGCTAAGTGAATGTTTGTAAATAAGGCAAAGCTGTGTCCACTTCAAATTTTTGGAAAAAATCCAGTTTTGATAGGAATTTGGTTGGGTACATGGCCGGATTTCCAACAAGGTCACCAAGGCCCGGCCTCGGAGCAGCAGGGAGTAAATGGGCAGCAGGGGTGTGGAATTCCTATCTCCCAACGCCTGGGACATGCAGTTGGGTAGTTTTTTTTACATTTAGTCCTGCTTCGGGCTAAATGTACAGCGGTGAATCGGCAACTCGTTTTGTACAAGTGATCTCGGCGATGCTGCGATCACTTGTCATTAGCCTGCTCGTCCTCCCCTGCCACACCACCTGCAGCCGCCTCTTCCCACCTCCCTCCCCGCCGTGGTTTTCGGAGCCCCCTGCTCTTCTGGGGGACCTGAGACCATGGCAAGGTAGTTCAGGACGGAGAACGGGGTGTAGAGCAGAGAACGTCCGTTCAATAAAGAGAACCTGTCACCTCCAAATGCTATCACACAGGGGCTTGTTAGCTCCTGTGTGATAGCAGTAAAGTTAAGTGACAACATTTTTTTAAAATAAACATTGACGAAAAGTAAAAAATAAAAATGTAAAAGATAAATATGATTAAATAAAAAAGTGATAACAGTAAAAAAATTAATAAAATAAAATATAAAAAATAAAAAGGGAAAGATAAATAAAACATTTAAATAAAAACATGTCATAAAAACAATTGTAAAATCTTAAAGTAAAAGATAAGATAAATGAAAATGTAAATGAGTAAAAATTAAAACCAACCCTGCCCCCACACCCCCGGGGGGTTGGCAGGGAGGGGGGCACATTGAGGAACCTGGCTTTGGGGCAGCAGAGAGAGTAAATCCGGCCCTGGTTGGGTATGTAAAGTGAACACAGCTTTGCCTTATTTACCTACATCCACTTTGTAAACTGGGCATACACTTTCAAAGTGATCATTGGCTTTGTTGAGTAAATATATTTTACTCCTTTAACCAAACCTTTGTGTATTTCTCCACTTGGTCGTTGAATAGTCGTCAAATCTGGTTTTCCGGTACCAACTTTATGCTGGTATCATCAAAACGAAGCATGATTTAAAGAAATATCCCCTCTACCTCTGATAGGTGAATGCCTCGTTTGTGATGTTTTCTCAGTACATATAGTTCAATCTAACACTGACCATTAACACTCCCATGCTTGCAACTGTCAATTCTACCACCAAACCACACCAATGAAAACCCATGGTCTTGGCAATGCTTGACTCTAAAATCAAAAGATTCCTTTGCTCTTAGTGATCATTACCTGAATAGGCATCCATAGACACAAGATCGGGTTGTGCACCATGAATGGATCCTTCGGCACTATATTTCTGGAACTCAATGATATCAGGATACGCGCAGGCTCCATAATCTGACGTTACAATAGGAGATAGCCTCTGCTCGGATGAAGATGGCGTCATCTGGCCTGGTGGTGGACTGGCAACCGGCAAGTGTAACACGCTGGGCTTTTTTGGAATCGGCGGTGGAACCTTTACTTTCTTTTTATCTATATAACTCAAGTTGTGTAGGGTTATTCTGTCTGGGAATTGTCTTCCCCTGTAATAGTCATCTTCGTCAGCGCTGCTCTGTGAGAAGCTCCTGGCGCTTGGCTGGTTGGTTTGGAAGTAACTCTCGGGTGGTGGAGAGGGGTCTAAAGAAGGAGGTGTCTCCATACGCATTTCATAGTCGTAATTCTTCTTGTGCCGCATAGTTCCAATCACCATGTATGCGTCCTGAGGGGATACTTGGTCTCGAAGGTATTTTCCAGGAGAAGAGGGCGACATCACGGGAGATTCTGGCATGGCTGCAGAAGTTCTGTATGAAAGGCTGTTGGGCCTCCTAGACATCGGTGGTTTTTCGGCCACCGGAGGCTTTGTCTTCTTCTCTGGCAAAGGAAAGGCTTCATCGGTCAGTTCGTCCAGGTGGTCTACAATATCTAAGTTATCTTCTGTTTCAGATCTGCTTATTGACCTGAGACGGATGTTGCGGAGGTCTGACTGAGTGACCATCGGCATTACTGGCTGCACCGGACTTGTTTTCTGATTCTGGTTTTTAGTGCTGAATGTTGAATCGGAGTGGCTCTTGCTGGTCCTCACTTTGTTCCTTGACGAATTTCTGCCACTGGTCAGATCCAGATGCGTGGGTGGAGTAAGCGGTAAGTCAAATGACTGCCGGACACTGGGACTTCTATCAATCGGGGAAACAGCTGGCAGTGATGATTTCCTTTCAGGGACCATGGGCCTTACCCTTTGGCTTTGGTAAGGAGAATGACCTAGAATTAATGATGTTGAAAATGTAGTTGGGGTCTCTGATTGACTTGAGTAGCCACTAGATGGAGACATCAAGCCTGGAGGTTTACCAGGTGACGACAGCTTTGAGTCCACCTCTGTGCAAGTTTGTGATGGCGTTGTGGCTCTTGAATTGTATAGCGACGTCAGGGACTCAGAACTTCCCTGTATCTTCCTGGATTCTATAACTGTTAAACCTGTTACGGAACTAGAGCTTGTCAATGTCCTGTGCAGGTCGTTGGACTTGCAATCACTGGAATTCCAATTTTGAGTAAAGAGCATGCTTTTCGACGATGGCATCGTAGCATTGCCCTGCATGGATGTTGGAATATAACTGTTCCCTTGGCTATCAAAGGCAATGCAGAGGCTTTTGGGTCTTTGATCCTTTGGCATAGTGGACGCCGGCTGCAGTTTCTGTGCGGACGCATCTTTTATGAGGGAAACGCTACGTGCGGGAGGTGAAGGCTTTTTCTTCGGCTTCCTCAAGGAGATGCTTCGAGATCTTCTACGTTCCTGATTGTCCTGGTCAACCACCGCGGATACATTCTCTGTACTCGTGCTCTCCTCGGAGCTCCCACTGGGATAGTTTAAAGCGTAGTCCCCACTTCCTCTCCTGTTCTCGGCGTAGGTTATGTCCACCGAAGAGAGGGAACCGGTGTCTGTAGGCATTGACAGTGACCTTTCTCGGAATGTGCACTCGTTGCGCGCTGTTGGCAAGGTGGACGAATTGTTCAAGCTGCTTCCTCCTAGTTGCTGACTAGGGCAGGAAACGACCTTGTACTTCTCAACTTTTGGTGGATCCATGCCGTGTCCTGGAAGAGTTGTGCTCAAGCATATGCTTCCACTATGACCCCTTGTTAGGTTTTCTTTTTTTATCTTAAAGGAGCCTGTCCCTTTACAAACCCCGGGAGATGCCATGGTCATCGTCAAACTTTTTGCGGGCTCTGCAACAGGGGCGTGCTCGATTTTTAGTGGACTCGACGAAGTCATATAGTTAAAGGAGTTTGCCTGCCAGTTTGATGTGGCGCAGTCCTTAGCCCCATTGCACGGGGGATTCGAATATATCATACTCGCGCTGTCCATATTATTTGATGGCTGTAATATGTGGCCAAGATCACTGAAAGTCTTTCTCAATGGCAGCTGTTGAGGGTGAGGTGTAGCCGCTCTCCCTCCAGGATGTCTCCCATGGGAGGATTCTGATTTCGCAGGAGGAGAATCGGGGGGCGCTGGAGGTTGTTCGCTGGTAGTTACACCATTGACGTTTCCTGTATTAAGAAAATAATTTAAATAATTTTATACTGAGATAATTCTACAAATACAAGGTTACAAATACAGGCTGGTTGGAGTTCAGCTTTAATGCTGATTGAACTATAATATTTTGTATTGTAGCCCTGATGAAGGGGGCCACTCGGAACCCTGAAACGCATTGGTTTTTTAATGAACACTGCAACAAGAGAAAAATTGATATTGACTCGGCAAATAGCCTGGCAGTCTCTTTTCCACAGCTCTAAGACAATCAGCCTACGATCATTCCTATGAGCCTAGGGTCACTTTGATGAGCCTAGGGTCATTCCAGCAGTCTTCATAAATAAGGGTTCGGTGCACTGAAGATCACAAAAGGCAACCAGAAAGATCTGAAGCCTGGTATTGATATCAGCAAAGGGTCATTCCTACCAGCCTAGGGTCATTCATACCAGCCTAGGGTCATTGTTATCAGCCTAGGTTCATTGTTATCAACCTAGGGTCATTGCTATAAGTCTAGGGTCATTCTGACCAGCCTAGGGTCATCCCTACCAGCCTAGGACCATTCCACCCAGCCTGGGGTCATTGCTATAAGCCTAGGGTCATTCCTACCAGCCTAGGGTCATTCCTACCAGCCTAAGGTAATTTCAACTAGCCTGGGGTCATTGCTATCAGCCTAGGGTCATTGCTATCAGCCTAGGGTCATTCCTACCAGCCTAGGGTCATTCCTACAAACTTAAGGTCATTCCTACTAGCCTAGGTTAATTGCCACCAACTTATGGTCCTTGCTGTCAGCCTAGGGTAATTCATACAAGCCTAGAATAGTTTCTACTAGCCTAGGTTCATTGCTACATGCCTATGGTCACTGCTGTCAGCCTAGGGTCATTCCTAGGGTCACTGCTATCAGCCTAGGATCATTCCTACCAATCTAGCATAATTTCTACCAGCCTAGGGTCCATGCTATCAGCCTAGGTTCATTCCTACTAGCCTAGGGTCATTCCTACCAGCCTAGGGTCATTTGTACTAGCCTAAGTTCATTGCTACAAGCCTATAGTCACTGCTGTCAGCTGAGGGTAATTTCTTCCAGCCCAGGGTCATTGCTATGAGACTAGGGTCAATCCTACCTGCCTAGGGCCATACCTACCAGCCTAGGGTAATTGCTATCGGCATAGGATCATTTCTGCCAGCCTAAGGTCATTCTTGTAGTCACTCTGTGTGGAATTTATCAAAAGTGGAGCAGACAAAATCTAGAGCAGATTTGCATGACAACCAATCAGCTTCTCTCTTTTGTTTTCAACAAACTGAAGAGAAAAGCTGATTGGTTGCCACGGGGCAACTTCTTCTGATCTTGTCTGCTCCACTTTAGATACATTCCCACCTCTGTCTTTATAAATAAGGGTTCTATATACTGCAGATCACACAATGTCAGAAGTATATACTACAATGAAGAATAAAAAAAAATCAGGCACAGTAAAACAGAGTCAATATATTAATATAATATATATTACCGGCAAAAAAATGGGGCCGACGCGTGCCCCTAAATTCTGGAGACAAATCTAAAGTTTAACTCTTTAATGTCATCGAGATAATAAATAATAGGGTCGGAAAATAGAAACCTGGCGTGGACTTCTTGGGCGTTGACTCAGAAGCTGCGGATCTCTTGCCCTCTCCCTGATCCTGCGACTGGTGGTGGGAGAACCCAATTATGGTCCTTCTACGTCTCAGAGTGGTTTTCGGGTTCACCGCTGTCTCTGTGTTGAACAAGGAGTGGTGCGAGCTGGCGTGTTTGTCAAACAGTTCTCCTGCAGACAAAAAAAAGGATAGCAGATATTGCGAAAAGCAGAAGTCAACAAGAAAAAAATAAATGTGCAGAAAAAGTAAAAGTAGAAACGATTAGCAACCATCAGTAACAAACTGTACGGCGAGGTCTCTGCGTAGAGCCCAATCAGCAAAATGCATTTCAAAGGCACCAAAACAAAAAGGGTTCAAAGGTCTTACAGTTGGGTTTTCTTTGGAAAGAAGCCAAAGACTGAGTAGAAAAGGCTGCCTCCTGCCAGCATGCTGCAGAGAGGGAAGCAGTGGCCCCTCTGCGTTGATTTAACACGCCCCCTGCTGCATCATAGAGTTCTCCAATTCGCAAGAAGCAATCCAGCAATGCAAAGCCGGAATGCTGCATAGAAGGACCCTTGCTCTAAGTATAGAAGATACTTTGCAACAGTGGCGTCACAAGGGGGGTGTGGCCCGCACCCGGGTGACACCAATGGAGGGGTCTCAGGGAGCTCTGTGATTGGTTGGTTTGTCACGGTTCTGTGCTATATATATGTGTTTCTGTTTGTGCTTCCATCACATGTCTTTTTCCTGGGGAAGGGGATCCTGTGTGACCCCGAAACTTTCGTTGCATCTTGTGTGATATGCTGTACCACGTCATTAAATAGACGTCCTTTTGCATCGTTATTGGAGTGCCGGTGTCCCTGTTTTTTTACCAATGGAGGGGTGACACCAAAATGACTGACAGTCATTTTGGTGTCACTCCCTCTGAAAAGTTGGGCGCTTGGTCATTGACTGACAGCCCTACAGTTTCAGGAGAGAGGAGGGGACCCGGCGGCATACCTCATCCCGCCGAGTGAACATCCTCTCCTCTCTCTGCTGGCATCCATCACCAAGATGGCCGCCGGGAGGCATCAATAAGACGGCCGTGCATGCGGCGGGGTGACACCCGGTCTCCGCAGTCGGGTGACACCCGGCCTCAGAATGACCCTGCTTCACAGAGGTCCAGCATGCCCCCTATATCAGTCAGACATATAGCTCTGCAAAGCTCATGCTTCCTGCTAATTGGAGAACTCTAGCTATGACTCAGCAGAGAGGGGGGCATGTTAGATCAATGCAGAGGGGCCACTGCTTCCTTCGCTCCACCATGCTGGCAGGGGACAGGCTTTTCTACCCAGCCCGTGGCTGCTTTCCATAAGAAATGAAGACTTTGCATACCCTTTGATGCACCCAGAATGTATGCAGCTGATTTCAACTGAACATTCAATTGTTCTTCAAGATCTGGAGAGCCCTGGTGGGGGACCTTTGCTCACGAGATCAGCCCAAAGGGCATTCAACTGGACTTTTTAGAAAGTAATAAGTTCCTGATGTGTCACAGTATACAGTAACAGTCAGTTCCATTGTGATATCAGTCACCGAGGCATCACCAGGGTGACTATCTTCTACAACAGGTCCACTTTATACATTATGACCGCTGAAGAGCCAGACGTATCTGGCCAGATGAGTGAAAGTAGGAGGACTCCTGTAAACAATCGCTCCGCTGATGCCATTTCGGAGACAGGAAAGTCTTTCCATTTGGTCTGGATCGCATTTCAGGAAGTTCTCTAATAATAACTATTTCATGTTTTCTTTAGACAGAACGGAGGGGAGAGATAAAGGAATTCACAGGTTATGTCAGGTCTGGCTGTAAATCTCTGGCTATCCTGTTTTGGGCCCAGCGTGGAGCTAAAAAATAAAGCTGGATCTCCTGTAGAGGATGCGGAGGAATTAAGAGGACAGGAAATCAATTTCTTACAAAGTTGCTCAGATTTTACTCGCTGTATTGAAGAGCCGGAGAATGTGAATGCTGAGGGCTCCCTACGAGCAGTCTTTATTGTCCTTTATGTTGCATAGGGATGAGCAAATAAACAATGTTTTCGGTTGGCAGGCACTTCTGCAAATGTTGTTCAAACTTTGAAGTTTGCAAATTTTGTGGTGTACCCAACGGAAGTATGTGGCTAAAGCTTGCGGTTCACGAATCTCGAGAATCTTGGGCGTTTGCCATGACCCCGTGGTGGTGGCCAGGCCACATCTCATCCCCAACTCTGCAACGTCACAATGACTAGATCTTGAATATGCTGTTCAGTTTTGAGTGCCAGTTTCCCAATGGGAAGCCGTAGAGCTTACAAACAGTGCGGGGAGTGGCAACTAAAATAATAAGGGGGGATGGAGAACCCCAGTCATGAACAAAGTCTTCCTGAGCTACATATATTTACATTTGAAAAGAGGTGTATTTTTAAACGACGAGGACTTATCCTTTTTCGCTCCTCATCCCCCCGAAACTCAAGTGCCACAAGCTCCCACTCCACAAATGCATCCTTAAGTATGTGGACACCGAGGACCGAATTTAATCTCCCTGCCGCCACAAGGCCAGGTTACGCAATGCTCCCCCCTCCCCGCCGATCCCCCCCCATCAACAGAGAATGGCAACCAGATAGCAGGGCAGCATGGTTAGTTTTAATTTTTTTTATTGTTTCTTTTTACTTTATTACTTTTTTATTTTTTTTAACTTTTTACATTTTTATTTATCTTATCGTTTACTTTTTTTTATTTTTTATAATTTTTTTAAATCTTATTATTGTTGTTTTTTTCTAATTATTTTATTATTATTTTTTACTTTTTAATCACCTGTTTATTTTTTTATTTCGATTTTATTTGTTTAAATTTTTATTGATATAATTATTTTTTAATCAATTTTTTTTTTCCACTTAACTTTATTGCTATCACACAGTAGCTAACAATCTCCTGTGTGATAGCCCTTGGAGGTGACAGGTTCTCTTTATTGAACCCGTCACCTCCAGGACAGTGCTAGAACTCCCGTGACAGCAGAGAGGGGAGGACGGCTCTCCCTTCTTACTACACGGAGCGGCAGGGTTACTTTTAACCCTGCTGCTCTGCTCACCGCATCGGCGGCGGCTACTCGGAGCAGAGACTCGGCGGCTGAGGGAGGACGAAGCCTGGCGGACGATGCAAGTGAGGAGAGAGGTAAGGTGCGGGGGGAGGACGGTCTGCAAACCTATTACAAGTGATCTCGGCTACATCGCTGAGATCACTTGTAAACGTACACGGCTTCACCACACTTACTGCCCGGCGCCCGGAACTGTATGTTCCGGGCGTCGGGGGATTCCACACCGGTGCCGCCCCTCTGCGCCCTGCCGCCCCGAGGCCGGGCCTCGGTGGCCTTGTGGGGAATCCGGGCCTGTGGACATGGTGTGACCATTCTGGTGTGGAGGAACTTGTGTGTCCTGCACAGAGCCCTGACCTCACCCCTACTGAACACCTTTGGGATGGATTGGAGCGCCAATTGTGAGCCAGGTCTTCTCAT